GAAGAACCCTTCCACGGTGTGGGCAACCGGGAAGTGATAACCGCCCTCATACCTCTAACAGCACTCAAGACCACTGTATTCATAATCAACCTCCCTCTTCAATTCCTATTATTCCTCTTACATCGACTTTCAAATCTAAACTCCCTCTTTCGGCATCCTCCTCAAGTGTTACCACAGCCAACGATTCTAGTGCGCAAAACGCTGTCCCAGCTCTACTGAAACCTCGCCCCAAACTACACATTGAAGCCTTCAACGTACGCACACTATGTCAAATCGGTCAGCAGACATCCTTGGCTAAAACCCTAGAATCTCGTACGATTGATGTATGCTGTGTCTCCGAAACACGGATATAGGATCCTAGTGTGGTCATTCACTTGACCTCACCTCGGCAAAACGGAGAGCCAACGAGATACACCCTCCGTGTATCTGGCGACCCGATGGCTAGTTCTTGTGGACTTGCAGGTGTAGGCATAGAACTAAGCATGAGGGCGGAACAAGCGCTATTAGAGTGGATCCCCGTTAACAGTCGTCTATACGCTGTTCGGCTAAACGGCTCGGTAAGAACTCGAAAGGATAGGGACACACGTCGTTGCCTTTTCGTCGTTTCTGCTTACGCTCCCACTGACTGCAGCTCGGATGAAGTGAAAGATGAATTTTACAGAAAACTCTCTGAACTTCTTCAGAAAGCTAAACGTTCAGACATAGTACTCGTAGCAGGCGACTTTAATGCCCAGGTAGGTAGCTTAAACGAAACAGAAAGACATTTAGGTGGGTATTTTAGTATTCCGGCACAGAGAACAGATAATGGTGATCGTCTGCCGCAACTTTGCTCAGACAACCGTTTATTTTTAGCATACACAAATTTTAAGCATAAGGAGAGACATCGTCTAACATGGCGACCCCTGCACCAAACCAACGATGGACTCAAATAGACCATATTGCCATCAGTCATCGTTGGAGAAGGTCGGTAGAAGATTGTCGCTCATTCTGGAGTACCTGCTTGGACTCCGACCATGCCCTAGTACGAGCACGCATCTGCTTGCGCCTCACTGTACGCAAAAAAGACTCATTAGAATCGAATTGAGTAATGAGAAAACCAAAAGTAGGTTCCAGGAACAACTGAGGTTACACTTAGGTAGTTCTGAAAACGAGGCTGACCCCGATGTTGATTGGAAAGACATAGAAGCAGCTGTGGAAACAGCAGTGACATCTACTAGTGATTTAAACCACAGGGTTACAAAGAACCAATGGATTTCTTCAAGGCCTATTGCACTGATAGATTCTCGTAAACTCATCCCATCAGGTTCTGAACACGATGAAGAGCGTAAAGAAATCAGATCTAGGTTAAGCAAAAGTCTAAGGAACGATTGTGAGCAGTGGTGGGCAACGAAAGCAAAAGAGATGGAAAAGGCGGCGGCTATAGGGAACACAAGACAACTCTACAGACCAATAAAAGAAACTGGAATTAATAAATCAAGTGTAAGTCAGACTATTTCGGAAAAAGACGACACTCTCATCTGCTCCCAGTCCAGACGTTTAGAACGATGGGCGGAACATTTTAAGGAGCAGTTCAGTTGGCCTTCAGCTACTCTACAACTACCCTCTATTCCCAGACAGTATGAATGGAACATTGAGGTAGGTCCCCCAACTCTAGCTGAAGTTCAAAAGGCTATAGTTAATCTGAAACGAGGAAGAGCAGCTGGTCCAGACGGATTGGCCTCAGAGGTCTTTAAGGATGGTGGTCTAGTTTTAGCGATTAGGTTGACTAATATTTTAGCTAAAATCTGGGAGTTAGACGTCATCCCATCTAACTGGTCACAATCACTTATCGTCCCAATATTTAAGAAAGGGTCAAAATCATCCTGTGACAACCATAGAGGGATTAGTTTGACTAATATAGTATCTAAAATACTAGCTTCGATAATTATCGGACGCCTAACTAAGACTCGTGAGCTGCAAACACGTGAAAATCAGGCTGGCTTCAGACCTGGTCGTGGCTGCATCGACCACATATTCACCATTCGTCAGGTTCTAGAACACAGGCATACTTATCGGCGCCCGACAATAGTGGTCTTCCTTGATTTAAAAGCAGCGTTTGACTCTGTTGACCGAGATGTTCTGTGGCAGTGTCTGTCATTGAAAGGCGTACCTCAGAAGTACATAAACCTTGTGAAAGCTCTTTACTCGAACACTACTAGTCGAGTCAGAGCCTATGGCGAACTGTCTTCTGCTTTTGCGACCTCAAGTGGCGTCCGTCAAGACTGTCCACTTTCTCCATTTTTGTTCAACTTCATCATAGACCTACTGATGGAAATAACGCTCTCATCGACTGAATTCTCAGGTATTGATCTCCTACCAGGAGGTCCACTTATTGACTTAGAATACGCAGATGACATAGTCCTGTTTGGTGAAGACGCTGATGAAATGCAGAGTCTTTTGGTAGCACTGAGCAACAATACCAGAATGTTTGGGATGCGCTTCTCTCCCTCTAAATGCAAGTTGTTGCTTCAGGACTGGTCTTCGTCAACACCCGAACTAAGGATAGGGAGTGAAGTAGTCGAACGCGTCGACAACTTCACTTATCTTGGAAGTCTGATCAGCCCTAATGGGTTGGTGTCTGATGAAATCTCAGCACGGATTCGAAAAGCTCGCTTGGCCTTTGCCAAATTACGTCATCTATGGCGAAGGCGAGATATCCGTCTATCAATTAAGGGACGAGTATACTGCGCGGCAGTTCGTTCCGTTCTACTATACGGCTGCGAAACATGGCCTTTAAGAGTAGAAGATATTCGTAAGTTACTAGTAGTTGACCACAGATGCCTTAGAAATATTGCGGGTATGTGCTGGGATCACCGTGTAAGTAATAGTGAGGTTAGACGCAGAGTATTAGGGAATGATGGTAAATCAGTTGATGAGGTTATGAACCTTCATCGACTGAGATGGCTGGGCCACGTGCTGCGTATGCCTGAACACAGATTACCACGGCGCGCAATGCTAACCGGTGTTAGGGATGACTGGAAGAAAGTTAGGGGCGGCCAAACCAAAACGTGGCATCATTGCTTGAAGTCACTAACATCTAGTCTGAGACATGTTGGTAGATGCAGACTACTTGGTTGGGGTCCGTGTGACTATCGTAACCAATGGTTGGAGACTCTTGGTGACATGGCTCAGAATCGATCACAATGGCGTCGGTGTATACACTCTCTGTCTTCCTTTAAACTAAGAGGTTAAAATCATTTCAAATCTTTCTTTCTACGAACTAATTCTATCTTCCTGTACTATATCCTTATATGCAATCTTTCTTCTATATATTACCACCACTGAATTAACTACTTCTATGAATCCGGTGTTCATCTTGTTGTGCTAATGCGGTATGGCAACTTGGACCGATGCATATACGTGCATGGTCCTACGTTGCAGCTGACTGACTGACTGACTCATACGCCATTTGTTCCCTCAGGATACTGGAGCCCATGTGCACCATAGAATTGGGACCCGGTTATAGCGCCGGACGTTCGCTTTTCGTCCTCTCATTTTCGTAAACAACAGTAATGCCACGAGAAGGCAGTGAGTAGGACTTCCCTGGCAGAGACTGTATACGCGTGGCCGTGTGAGAGTATTTCGAGAGGGAGGGCGAACCCACTCCACTCTCGGCCATACCAGGGCATTTGGGGGACGGTGAGCAGATAGAAGTAGTCGAGAAGTTTGTGTATCTGGGTAGCTGCATAAGTGCTGGTGGTGGTGTGAGTGATGAAATCAATGCACGTTTAGTGAAAGCCAGAGCGGCTTATGCCAATCTGGGCCATCTTTGGCGCCTTCGTGATGTTAGTCTGGCTGTAAAAGGTCGGATCTACAACGCGTCGGTGAGAGCAATTTTGCTCTATGCTTGTGAAACCTGGCCTCTCCGAGTTGAGGATGTTAGACGACTCTCTGTGTTCGATCATCGTTGTCTCCGAAGGATTGCTGGCATCCAGTGGTAACACCATGTCAGTAATGCAGAGGTTCGGCATCGAGTGTTCGGTCACAGAGACGATAATGAAATTGGTGTCACCATCTTGAAACACCGACTTCGGTGGCTTGGACATGTTCTACGAATGTCGTCCCAGAGAATTCCACGTCGTGCATTATTTGCCAACTCTGGGACTGGTTGGATAAAGCGGAGAGGTGGTCAGTATATGACATGGTGTCGTGGTATGAAAGAAAGCTGCAAAGGGCTGGCTTCTGTTGGTCCTTCACGATTCGCTGGTTGGGGTCCGAGAGACGATGTAACACAGTGGCTAGAGACGTTATCAGATATGGTTCGGAGTAGAAGCCAGTGGCGATCCTGCTGTAACCTTCTTTTACTTTCTCCATAAAAAAAGTGGTTGCCTCTTCCTTAACTGAAAGATTTCTTCTGATTGTACCTTTTCGTTTCTCCCATTATTACTACTATTACACTACCTTACACTAATCTGGTCGTTATTGTTCTTTATTTTTTATAATTCCCTACGCTCCTTACCTTTTTTCCCTACTCTTCAAATTCTCATTGTTTTGTGTGGCGCATATATATTTGATGCCCCCTTGTACCAATATTTATGTGTTCAAGTAAATATATATATATATATATATATAAATCTCATTTTGTCCACCTAATAAAGATCGACATTATTTCTATTATTGTTTACTGTTTATTCTAGGTAGATCATTAGAAAATACTTGTGACTTTATAAACAGTACTACTTATGTATTTTGTCGATTGAATCTTGCTCCGTCTAGATCTCTTCTGAAGGTTATTTCCGATCCGAAGCCTGGATAAGTGAGGAAGGTTGGACGTGAGGTTAGCATTCCGTTGAAAGGAACTTAATTAAGAGAAAAAATAAGCTAATTAGAATAAACCACTCAAACCATAGTGTGTACAAATAGGTGTTGTTATTTCATTGACTAATTAAATTTGTTTTATATAACACATTTTAGATAATTCATAATTTATCGCAACTTTCACTTTTATACTTTTATTTCAGATCAACTATCATTGTACTGATCAAGTTACTATTCTCAATTTCTCTTTGATCTACTTGAAATAAAATGAGTAGACTTAAGTTTGTACTATTTGCGCATCGATTATTATCTCCGACATACATTGTTGATCGTACCCTTCACATTCCAGCTCATTTATTTGTAAATAAGATTAATGTTTTCTCGACACAAATAAAACGATTTGCCGGTCATGCTCATTGGCAAAATGTGAAACATATCAAAGAAGCTGGTGATCGTGAAAAATCTCAAACTGCACTATACTATGTTAAGGCTGTACAGAAAGCAATTAGAGGTAAGTTAAAGATCAGTCTTACTCAATAACCATTGTAGAAGGTGGAGGAATTCGTGATCCAAAGAAAAACTCAAAATTAGCTGCAGTTTTAGCTGAGGCTAAATCAAAATCTGTCCCTTTTTCTACCTTGGAAAAACAATTAAGTACGGATAATCAAATTGAACCGTATATAATCGAAATAAAGGCTCCAGGTGGATTATTTGTAATTGTAGAAAGTCGAGCTAAACACGTTGCCAATGAGCGTCAACGTGTCTGTTCTATCGCAAAAAAATATGGGTAATTTATTCATTCACTGTAATTACTTTTAAGTTTCTCTCTTGTTCCTGCTGGTGATATAGCCGACAAATTCTTCGATCATATTGGTTTAATCACTGTCTCTGCTAAATCTAGTAAGCAGTTATTAGATTTAGATGCGGCAACTAATTTGGGCATTGAAATCGGAGCGAAAGAAGTTGAATTGAGTTCTAGTGAAGATCAAAATTATCTTGTAAGTGATCTAACCGTCTTTAGTTTTGTATGATGTTGTTTGGAAAGTGAAATACCGTTTTGTGATGTTCTTTTTCACTAAACATACTAAACCTTACTCATTTTAGATGACTATATAGTTGTGCATATTCCTGTGAAGTGTGATTTTTACCATTTTGTTTTATTGTTTCCCTCGGCAACAAAATGTCCGTTACTGTAAATCACATTAAATTATTAAGTTATCTTTGAAGTCATGTTAGAATTTCATTCCCCATACTACAATTTCTACAAGTTGAATATTATCATTAACTATTTCAAAGAAAGATGTACCTTAAAGTTGACTGATGGTAAGTCAGTTGATGAGGTTGTGAATCTTCATTGACTGAGATGGTTGGGCCACGTGTTGCGTATGCTTGAACACCGATTACCACGACTCTCAATGCTAACTGGTGTTAGGGATAACTGGAAGGAAGTTAGGGGCGGCCAAACCAAAACGTGGCATCAGTGCTTGAAGTCACTAACATCTAGTCTGAGACATGTTGGTAGATGCAGACTACTTGGTTGGGGTCCGCGTGACTATCGTAACCAATGGTTGGAGACTCTTGGTGATATGGCTCAGAATCGATCACAATGGCGTCGGTGTATACACTCTCTTTCTTCCTCTAAACTAAGAGATTAAAATCATATCTTTCTTAATACGAACTTGCGACCATACCGCGTTGAAAGCACCGGTTCTCGTCTGATCACCGCAGTTAAGCAACGTTGGGCCCGGTCAGTACTTGCATGGGTGACCGGCTGGGAATACTGGGTGTCGCCGAGTTTTAGCCCCCAAATGCCCTGGTATGGCCGAGAGTGGGGTGGGTTCGCCCTCCCTCTCGAAATACTCTCACACGGCCACGCGTATACAGCCTCTGCCAGGGAAGTCCTACTCACTGCCTTCTCGTGGCATTACTGTTGTTTACGAAAATGAGAGGACGAAAAGCGAACGTCCGGCGCTATAACGGGATCCCAAATCAATAGTGCACATGGGCTCCAGTATCCTGAGGGAACAAATGGCGTATGAACCAATTTCTTGGTCACCGGCTTCCATGGGACTGCATCTTTTCACGATGCTCCACTGCCTTGTGGACTAGACCTCCAGGTCAAAGGCTCGGTGTGTGGCCCCCTAAGAAAACCACCTGCTTCGGTCTGGGCACCCGGGCCGTATCCCAGCCTACGCACTAAAACATGATGAACTATTTACCTATGGAAAATATTCTTTTCGCTCCGATTTACACTGAAATGACTCGCATTATTATTATTATTATTACTATTATTATTATTTACCGCGTCATTTATTTACTCTCTTTCATTCCCACTCTGTCTATCCGTATTTTTCGACTTATACAGCAGCTCGCCTATGGTGGAAATTCGGCTCTATCCAAACGTTCTCGAGTCACTGCCTGGTTGAAAATTGTATGTTACCACCGAATACGAGTACTAAAGCAGTTTTTCTGAAACCACATGCAGCATTCAAACTGGCTGCCTTCAACGTTCGCACACTTATGCAGGTCGGACAACAGATAGGACTGGCTATGTCTTTGGAAAGTCTTAATATTGATGTGTGTTGTCTATCCGAGACCCGTATTCAAGACTCTGGTGAAGTACTACAAGTTCGCTCTACATCTGTTTCTCCAGAAAGTGCGTTCGACAGATATTGTAGTACTAGCCGGAGACTTGAATGCTCAGGTCGGGCGTCTAGGCACAAAAGAGAGTCGTTTAGGTGGCCGATGGGGACTCGTTGGTCGCAGGACAGATAACGGGGAACGTCTACTGCAACTATGCACAGACCACAACCTGTTTCTGGCTAGCACTAACTTTCGGCACAGTCATCGCCGATGTGCCACCTGGCGTCCTCCTTCTGCATCTCTAGCCTGGACTCAGATTGATCACAGCGCGATCAGCGACCGCTGGTGTGGTTGTTTACAAGACTGCCGCTCCTTTTGGAGTACCTATTTGGAATCTGATCATGCCCTGGTCTGCGCCAATCTTACCTTACTTTTCAGTGGACAACGAAGTGACCGCCACCGAAGGATTGACGTTAGAAAGCTGGTTGCAACTTCTGTTGCTAGTACGACGTTGTTTACAAAGATTTGGGTACTAGGAAGTGTACCAACGTCATGGAATGAGTCGATAGTTGTCTCTATCTTTAAAAAGGGTTCACGTCGTTCCTGTAACAACTATCAGGGGATAAGTCTACTTCCGACTGCGTCCAAGTTATTCGCTTCCGTCATACTTCGTAGGTTGCTTAAAACCCGAGAAGGATTGACTCGCGAGGAGCAGGCTGTGTTTCGTTCTGGTCGAAGATGGATTGATCATATCTTCACCCTCCGCCAAGTGTTAGAACACCGCCATACTTATCAAAGGCCAACAATCGTAGTGTTTCTTGACATCAGAGCTGCCTTCGATTCATTGGACAGAACTGTTCTCTGTGATTGTCTATTGAAGAAGGGTGTGTCTGAGAAGTTTATTAACATCCTAAAAGCCCTATATACAAACACCTCAGGCAGAGTGAGGGCATACAACCACCTTTCTCCACTATTCCATTCGAGCAGTGGGCTTAGTCAGGGTTGCCCAATCTCACCATTCCTTTTCAACTTTGCCATCGATGACATTCTGGAAACAACTCTGATGAATGTAAGTAATGGTGGTGTGGATCTGTTGCCTGGAGAAAGACTTCTCGACCTTGAGTATGCGGATGATATTGTCTTACTGTGCGAGAATGCCCAAGCCATGCAATCCACACTTAATCAGTTGGCAATCAGTGTCCGTAGGTGTGGTATGCGCTTTGCACCCTCGAAGTGCAAAGTACTTCTAGAAGACTGGCAGGATTCTAATCTTGTACTCACTGTGGATGGTGAGCAGATAGAAGTAGTCGAGAAGTTCGTGTATCTAGGTAGCTGCATAAGTGCTGGTGGTGGTGTGAGTGATGAAATCAATGCACGTTTAGTGAAAGCCAGAGCGGCTTATGCCAATCTGGGCCATCTTTGGCGCCTTCGTGATGTTAGTCTGGCTGTAAAAGGTTGGATCTACAACGCGACGGTGAGAGCAGTTTTGCTCTATGCTTGTGAAACCTGGCCTCTCCGAGTTGAGGATGTTAGACGACTCTCTATGTTCGATCATCGCTGTCTCCGAAGGATTGCTGGCATCCAGTGGTAACACCATGTCAGTAATGCAGAGGTTCGGTCACAGAGACGATAATGAAATTGGTGTCACCATCTTGAAACACCGACTTCGGTGGCTTGGACATGTTCTACGAATGTCGTCCCAGAGAATTCCACGTCGTGCATTATTTGCCAACTCTGGGACTGGTTGGATAAAGCGGAGAGGTGGTCAGTATATGACATGGTGTCGTGGTATGAAAGAAAGCTGCAAAGGGCTGGCTTCTGTTGGTCCTTCACGATTCGCTGGTTGGGGTCCGAGAGACGATGTAACACAGTGGCTAGAGACGTTATCAGATATGGTTCGGAGTAGAAGGCAGTGGCGATCCTGCTGTAACCTTCTTTTACTTTCTCCATAAAAAAAGTGGTTGCCTCTTCCTTAACTGAAAGATTTCTTCTGATTGTACCTTTCCGTTTCCCCCATTATTGTTCTTTTTTTTCTCCTTTCTCTTCAAATTATCATTGTTTTGTGTGGCGCATATATATTTGGTGCCCCCTTGTACCAATATTTATGTGCTCAAATAAATAAATAAATTCTACGAACTAATTCTTTCTTCCTGTACTATCTCCTTATATGCAATCATTCTTCGATATGACTACTTTTATGAATTCGGTGTTCATCTTGTTGTGCTAATGCTTTTTGTCAACTTGGACCGATACACATATGTGCCTGGTCCTACATTGTAACTGACTGACTGACTGAATCTACTTCAAAAGGCAATTTATGTACGTTTATTCAGATTGTGTAATTGTAATTGACAAACTACAGTTTATTCGTATTCATGAATTGAGATTTTGTTAATTATCTTTGGTTAGTCTATAAAACCAAATATTAGAGTTTAGCATGGGATTTAGATGATGGTTGATTTTATTTAGTAAGTTCAATACAAATGAATTGAAATACTGAAAAAAGTGATTTAGACGAAATGTTAAAACGAGATTTTTATTGTTATCTAATCACTTCACGTATAATTATCTCTCATTCGATTATCTAGAATACCAAATAGAGTAACAGATGTCGTGATTTATTTTAATAAAGGATCAGCCCCCCAAATGCCTTGACACGGTGTTGAGGGTGGGGAGAGTTAGCTCTCCCTTTCGAAATGCTCTCATATGGCCACGTGCATACAACCACTGCTACGGAAGTCCTACTCACTGCCTTCTCGTGGCGAGGGTGTTGATAACGAAAGTGTCCGTTGCCTTAATCGGGTTAGTGGATACGGAGGATCCACATAGGGGAGTTGGAAAACCCTGATTCCAAACCAATGGTGAACATGGACTATAGTATCCTGAAGGAACAAATGGCGTATAAACCAATCGTTGGTCACCGGCTACCATGGGACTGCATCTCCTAACGTTGCTCCACTATCTTGTGGATTAGAGTTCTAGGCCAAAGGCTCCGGGTGTGGCTCCCTAAGAAAACCACCTGCTTCGGTGTGGGCACTCGAATAGTATCGCAACTCACACACTAATCAAGTGACTTGTGTGGCACATATGTGTTTGGTGCCTCCTTGTACCAATGTTTATATGTTTAAATAAAGAAAGGATCGATTACCATTTACATTCGATCAAAACAGTTACAAATCATAAGTAGTAATATATATCACCATTACAGATAATAGAAATATCTACTATTCAACATTAGATTGATTTACTTCATTCATGAACTTGTTATTTTTAGTATCCTCGTCGGATTCTTACTGAGACAGAGAAAATAATCATATATGTCATTTGGGTGAGACTAATTTATGGACGGTCTTTGAGCGACGCCAAAGTTTCCTTAACGGTACGTACCTACTTAATAGGGCTAAATTAAAGTTATAAAGCCGTTTAAAGAATAAAGATAATGATTTACAGTTGATGGTTAAGGTTAGGAATTAGATTTAAGGTTTGTCATCATGAAGTGACATCAACTGATAGTGGCAAGACACTATTTAGACGAATAGTTGAGTGAATTTCTGATAAGTCTTGCAATTTGAACGCTATACTCGGTTCCTAAACTATTCTTGTAACCCCCAAGCTAAAACTATACAACGACCTGAACACGAGAGAGAAGGCGCAAAATATACGAGAAGCCCTTTACTCCAAAGGTTCATTTTTGTACAGAAAAACACGGGTATTTATAGATGTTAACATTTGTTAAATCAACATCATATTTTGGCCAATCCGCTAAAAGACATATTATGCTACTGATTAATAGTAGCACGCCACGTTGGTATTCTAGAAAGCTCCATCATGCTCTGATTGACTAGGACTCTTTGGCTCTTTCAGGGCCTCCGTTGTAGTTCTCGGAAAGCCGACTCAAAATCCAAGACTTGTTATCCTAAATCTAATTGATTCATCCATAAATTATAGTCTTGCTGTCATTTGTTTATTACTTATATGTAAGTGTATGTGTATTTTCTTTTCTTTTCAAATTCATTTCAGTTTCATTGTGAAGTAAATGAAATTGAAAATTTACGTCAATCACTTGAAACTATACATCATATTCCAGTTATCGATACACAAGATATATATTCTCCTAAAATATATGTTCCTATTCATCAAGAAGTACGTCAAACATTAGATGAAATGTATGAAAAAATAAAAACTTCACTTGAATATGTTGATAGAATATTTGATAATGTAATCATTGATAATAATAAAAAATGAATAAATATTTATGTGGATGGAGTTTTATTCTCTGAGCTGGATAGTTTGATCGCGGAGCTTTCATCCTTCTTCTGAACAACATCATCATCAGCAGCAGCACAAACTCCAAACAGAAGTCCTTCTGAAGTTTGTGCTGCTGCTGATGATGTTGTTCAGAAGAACGATGAAAGCTCCACAACCAAATCATCCACCTGAGTTACAAATCTTCCCCACTATCTCAAATATTTATGTAACTATGTGAAAAATCGATCGAAATCTATAAATTAACACCTTTTCCTATGAATAAAACTTTTATACAATAAAAAAAGGATACTTTATATATTTATACAACATTTTGTATTATACTTATTTCTAATTATATTTTAAAGGAAAAACAAACTTGAACCAGATTGCCAAGTGAAAAATTGAATTGACTTGAAATTCTTTCGTTGAGATTATAAAAATACAACATTGTTCTTATTTAGAGTTGAAAAATTTTTCATGACTTTCTCTCTTCTTTGTACATTTATGTCATTTATATTAAACATAGAATCAAATAAATATCCTTAGAAATGTCCTAGTATGTTAGTTAGCCCCCCCCCCCAATGCCTTGGTATCATGGCCAAGGGGAGAGTTAGCTTTCCCTCTCGAAATGCTTTCACATAGCCACGCGTATAAAACCACTGTCAGGGAAGTCCTACCCACTACTTCTTGCGGTATTACTGTTGTTTACGAAATTAAGAGGACAAAAACTGAATCTATGGCGCTTTAACCGGGTTCAGTGGTACAAAGGGGCACCCAATACATATGCGCCACACTACGAACATTCATTCTGAATTAAATGATCACACCTGACCGTTGTTGCTACCTTGACGTGGTGGTCGGGCTTGCCTATCGTGATGAAGCAACTGAGCTATACTGGCTGGAACAACCGTTCCTCAAGGTCCTACCATGCCAGACAGGACGGTTGAAGATTAAAAGTAACAAAACCAAGGTCCGAAGGCGAAGTCGTACTGCTGACTGTACAGAGGTGTGACAGCAGTAAGGTGTTTCTTTCAGACAACCAGCATAACAGCGATGCTGCCTTCCCAAAAGGACGGGAGGGGTTAGAAAAGGTGTACCCTAAAAATGCACACCTCGCTTTATCCCACGGATATCCGTCTCCGGCGGTAAGGTCTCAACAAGTACGGAGCTAACACAAAAATTACTCATAAAAAGGTCGTGTGTGACCGACCTCAAGCAGCTGTCCCTTGGGCACTGCGGTCACGCTTTCAGGTCACTATGACCACCTCTAATCCAATTTCCTTTTCAGGTACCTCCAGAAGAACCCTTCCACGGTGTGGGCAACCGGGAAGTGATAACCGCCCTCATACCTCTAACAGCACTCAAGACCACTGTATTCATAATCAACCTCCCTCTTCAATTCCTATTATTCCTCTTACATCGACTTTCAAATCTAAACTCCCTCTTTTAGCTTCCTACTCAAGTGTCACCACAGCCAACGATTCCAGTGCGCAAAACACTGTCCCAGGTCTACTGAAACCTCGCCCCATACTACACATTGAAGCCTTCAACGTACGCACACTATGCCAAATCGGTCAGCAGGCTTCCTTGGCTAAAACCTTAGAATCTCGTACGACTGATGTATGCTGTGTCTCCGAAACACGCATACAGGGTCCTAGTGTGGTCATTCACTTGACCTCACCTCGGCAAAACGGAGAGCCAACGAGATACACCCTCCGTGTATCTGGCGACCCGATGGCTAGTTCTCGTGGACTTGCAGGTGTAGGCATAGAACTAAGCATGAGGGCGGAACAAGCGCTATTAGAGTGGATCCCCGTTAACAGTCGTCTATACGCTGTTCGGCTAAACGGCTCGGTAAGAACTCGAAAGGATAGGGACACACGTCGTTGTCTTTTCGTCGTTTCTGCCTACGCTTCAAAAAGCTAAACACACTCGTAGAAGGTGACTTCAATAACAAAGTAGGTAGCTTAAACGAAACAGAAAGACATTTAGGTGGGTATTTTAGTATTCCGGCACAGAGAACAGATAATGGTGATCGTCTGCCGCAACTTTGCTCAGACAACCGTTTATTTTTAGCAAACACAAATTTTAAGCATAAGGAGAGACATCGTCTAACATGGCGACCCCTTGCACCAAACCAACGATGGACTCAAATAGACCATATTGCCGTCAGTCATCGTTGGAGAAGGTCGGTAGAAGATTGTCGCTCATTCTGGAGTACCTGCTTGGACTCCGACCATGCCCTAGTACGAGCACGCATCTGCTTGCGCCTCACTGTACGCAAAAAAGACTCATTAGAATCGAATTGAGTAATGAGAAAACCAAAAGTAGGTTCCAGGAACAACTGAGGTTACACTTAGGTAGTTCTGAAAACGAGGCTGACCCCGATGTTGATTGGAAAGACATAGAAGCAGCTGTGGAAACAGCAGTGGCATCTACAAGTGATTTAAACCACAGGGTTACAAAGAACCAATGGATTTCTTCAAGGCCTATTGCACTGATAGATTCTCGTAAACTCATCCCATCAGGTTCTGAACACGATGAAGAGCGTAAAGAAATCAGATCTAGGTTAAGCAAAAGTCTAAGGAACGATTGTGAGCAGTGGTGGGCAACGAAAGCAAAAGAGATGGAAAAGGCGGCGGCTATAGGGAACACAAGACAACTCTACAGACCAATAAAAGAAACTGGAATTAATAAATCAAGTGTAAGTCAGACTATTTCGGAAAAAGACGACACTCTCATCTGCTCCCAGTCCAGACGTTTAGAACGATGGGCGGAACATTTTAAGGAGCAGTTCAGTTGGCCTTCAGCTACTCTACAACTACCCTCTATTCCCAGACAGTATGAATGGAACATTGAGGTAGGTCCCCCAACTCTAGCTGAAGTTCAAAAGGCTATAGTTAATCTGAAACGAGGAAGAGCAGCTGGTCCAGACGGATTGGCCTCAGAGGTCTTTAAGGATGGTGGTCTAGTTTTAGCGATTAGGTTGACTAATATTTTAGCTAAAATCTGGGAGTTAGACGTCATCCCATCTAACTGGTCACAATCACTTATCGTCCCAATATTTAAGAAAGGGTCAAAATCATCCTGTGACAACCATAGAGGGATTAGTTTGACTAATATAGTATCTAAAATACTAGCTTCGATAATTATCGGACGCCTAACTAAGACTCGTGAGCTGCAAACACGTGAAAATCAGGCTGGCTTCAGACCTGGTCGTGGCTGCATCGACCACATATTCACCATTCGTCAGGTTCTAGAACACAGGCATACTTATCGGCGCCCGACAATAGTGGTCTTCCTTGATTTAAAAGAAGCGTTTGACTCTGTTGACCGAGATGTTCTGTGGCAGTGTCTGTCATTGAAAGGCGTACCTCAGAAGTACATAAACCTTGTGAAGGCTCTTTACTCGAACACTACTAGTCGAGTGAGAGCTTATGGAGAACTGTCATCTGCTTTCGCAACCTCAAGTGGCGTCCGCCAAGGCTGTCCACTTTCTCCATTTTTGTTCAACTTCATCATAGACCTACTGATGGAAATAACGCTCTCATCGACTGAATTCTCACGTATTGATCTCCTACCAGGAGGTCCACTTATTGACTTAGAATACGCAGATGACATAGTCCTGTTTGGTGAAGATGCTGATGAAATGCAGAGTCTTTTGGTAGCACTGAGCAACAATACCAGAATGTTTGGGATGCGCTTCTCTCCCTCTAAATGCAAGTTGTTGCTTCAGGACTGGTCTTCGTCAACACCTGAACTAAGGATAGGGAGTGAAGTAGTCGAACGCGTCGACAACTTCACTTATCTTGGAAGTCTGATCAGCCCTAATGGGTTGGTGTCTGATGAAATCTCAGCACGGATTCGAAAAGCTCGCTTGGCCTTTGCCAAATTACGTCATCTATGGCGAAGGCGAGATATCCATCTATCAATTAAGGGACGAGTATACTGCGCGGCAGTTCGTTCCGTTCTACTATACGGCTGCGAAACATGGCCTTTAAGAGTAGAAGATATTCGTAAGTTACTAGTAGTTGACCACAGATGCCTTAGAAATATTGCGGGTATGTGCTGGGATCACCGGGTAAGTAATAGTGAGGTTAGACGCAGAGTATTAGGGAATGATGGTAAATCAGTTGATGAGGTTATGAACCTTCATCGACTGAGATGGCTGGGCCACGTGCTGCCTATGCCTGAACACCGATTACCACGGCGCGCAATGCTCACTGGTGTTAGGGATGACTGGAAGAAAGTTAGGGGCGGCCAAACCGAAACGTGGCATCATTGCTTGAAGCTACTTACTTCTGGTCCGAGCCATTTTGGCCGATGCAGACTACCTTCTATGAATCCAGTGTTCATCTTGTTGTGCTAATGCGGTATGGCAACTTGGACCGATGCATATACGTGCCTGGTCCTACGTTGCAGCTGAATGACTGACTGAAATGATCACTGGACACTACCAGTATCAAGTTATCTAGTCCTTAGAACTATTTAAATTCAAGTGAATAGATTGTCATGTAAACCAAATATTTTGACGGTAACGTAGATTCAGATGTCACAGTTATATCAGTCCTTTAAAGATTATACAATTAAATTATGGGTAGTACAATGGCCCATTCAAAGCAAGTAAGCCAATCGACTGATGGACAAGAAACTTGAAAATGATATCATCGAAAAGTAAATTTCCTCCCCTAAATTATCTTCATCATTCCAAAATACCAATTGGATGGAATATTTTTGAACTAAATTAGTTTGGTTTATAAAAAGACCAATATGCGACTCGCGCATACCAATTCATTTAGTCTTAATATTCTAGTATTTATAATCTCGATCAGACGAAAGAAATGTACGGTCTAACACCTGGCCGAAATTTTCAAATAACTCAACCGAATCTAAACACCAGCCAATCGTTATTCTCAATCAAAACAGATGCACTCGCATACATAACTTTGGAGTTTAAACAATATTTATCGATTAAGATGAATCCATTTCTTTTTCCCCTATTCCTTTTTACTTGTTTGTAACTACTCTACGCGCAATTATAGTTTTTTTGGTCACTGTCATTGATATCATAAAAAAGAGGATTTTCTTTTTTCATCATATTTCATATGTCAAAGAGTAAGAACCGCTAACACATAAACAACAGCTCAAACATACTAGCTGGAATGAGAACTGAACGTAATACTCATATGACGGATTCCGACCCCTGACCATCCCAGTCTATAAGAGAACGCGGATACAAAACCAAATTCCTAACACTTCATTCATTTTTCTTCACGATCACTAATACTATTGCTTTGCTTTGTATATTTAATCACTATACCGATGTAATGCAATAACCTGAGCTAATGCGTGTTTGTGTTAGGCTTTATATTGGTTATAACTGACATGAGTATATTAACATTATACGTTACGTAAGTTTTACTAAAGTACATGTGTTTAGTGATTTATTCCTGTATTCAAAAATACCATATGTTGTCCAAAAATATGGAATCACCGAGTGATCTCTTGCAGTCCCAGTTCTAGTAAATTGTTTTAAGCTTAACCTAGGGAACAACTGGCATGGATTCGATAATTCATTTTTCTATTATGCATCAGGTACGTGCTCAAAAAGTGTGACCTGGGTCATACACTATAAATATTCACTAGTTAATCATTATAGGCATAATAAAATGTTCATTTTTCTTATCATTTATAGTATTCAGTTAAAATTATGTCAAAATTGATATAGATTTTATTCACGAATGTCATTAGATGCTTATCGTACTATATTACGGATGGAATAAAGCTAGAAGAATCAACTAACTGACTCAAATTGATTGGTTTAGAAGCGATGTGTTTTCTAAAGTTTTTGATCCTGATAACCGAATTCCTAGAGTCCAACAAATTAGAACGAAATATTGTCCATATATCTTGGGGCCACCGAGTAAGTAATACAATTTTTTAGAAAATGGGTACTAGGTAAGGATGGCAAATCAATTGATGAAGTAGTGAAACTTCACCAGTTCAGATGGCTGGGACACGTGTTACGTATGCCCAACTACCGACTGCCCTGACGTGCGATGCTTTACAGTGTAGGAGTAGGTTGGAAGAAAGCTAGGGGCGGTCAGATCAAAACATGGCACAAATCCATGAAGTCACTGACAAGTGGACTGAGCCATGTTGGTAGGTGTAGACTACCTGTTTGGGATCCGCCAGACGATAGCAACCGATGGTTAGAGACCCTGAATGACATGGCTCAAAATCGTTTGCAATGGCGCAGGTGCATCCACTCTTTGTGTTCTCTCAAATTATAATCTTCTGTATTCTTCATGTCCTTTATTTTCTTTGCAAATCTATTCTACCGGATTATACTCCTTAAATAACATCATCAAACCCTAATGTTCCTTATTACTACTTATACTTTCACTACCTCTACCACTACGGGATTTCAATTGATAACTGAATCTCTGTGCTAATGTGGTATGGCAACTCGAACCGATGTACGTACTTACGAAGTTCCACGTTGTTACTGATCGATATCCAATGATTACTGGGTTCTGATTCGTGCAGCCAGTGGGACGGAAAAGAGTATGTTAGTTAAATTAAGATGAACTGATTACACAATACGAAAAAAACCTCGTATGTACATTATACGCAGGATATTATACAATATTAATACCAAGTAAATATATTCTTATAGCAATTTTCAAGCGATTCGAATCTTATGCCCTCTGATACTATCACTACTACTTAGTCAGTCAGTCAATCAGTAACAACATAGAACTTTTGTACGTACGTACGTACGTACGTACATCACATCGAGTTGCCATACCACATTAGCACATTTATGCAGTTGTCAATTCAAATCCTATAGTGGTAGAGGTAGTAACAGTATAAGCAGTAATCAGAAAGATTAGGGTTTGAAGATGTTATTTACACTACTACTACTGTACTGATATTGTACAGTGATACCTTATGCATTGTATTTGCTTATGATTGATCTAATATTCATAATAATAATGATCTCTTTTCTATTACATTTTCTTTGTTTAAAATATAAACAAATAATCAAAATTTCATACAATAAATGCCATCAATTGGCTAACACATTAAGAGAATAGAATTAAAGTTATGCCTGCCCCCCCCCCCCAATTTTTTTTCGTAAATCACAGATTCTATTCACATAATCATCAATTATGAACTATTTCATCAAACAAAATAAATTAAAATTAAATGCATGATTAAACAAGGAAAAGAAAAGAGAAAAGTCAAAAAGAAGAAGGATGTGAATATAAACGGAATAATACAGATACCTTGATAGTAACACATTAGAACAATAACAACAACAACAACGATACAGAATTACTTATACAGTGACCGGTGTTGAGGATGATGATGATGGTTGGTTGGTTGAAATCGCGATATTGTGTGAATACAGTGGAGAATAAGACTGTTTGAATTTCTCCGTATTATCATCACCATCGCGTTATTACCGATTGTTGACGATTAAATAGTGCCTATTGGTTTATTGCAGGAATTATGACGAAGTTTGAGCAAAACCTGTGTAAATAAATGCAGTTTATGTAAATATAAATAAGGTAGATGATAATGAAAAAGGTATGAAATAAAAAGTTAGACAAATAGTACTACCCTCTCTCTCCCCCCATGTCACACACACACTCCAGTTTTATATATATATATGAATATGAAAATAGAATATCGATAGAACAATGAGAAGATGGAGTTGATCTGAGAAATGTGATGTATTTGCGCAAATACATCACACTTCTCATTGTTCTATTGAAATTTATAAAAGGGACTAATTGCTTGAAAATAAAATAATCTATGACCCTCTTAAGGTGTAAAAATTTGCAGAAAGTTGGATGGAACTCATCACTAATCAATATAATATCAGGATGCAAAATGCTGCGATTTCAAAACTGTTTTATAAAAACGACTTCAGAAGGAACTACAAAAAATCAAAAGAACCCCACATCAGATACACCAGTTCAGGTAGAAGCATTAATTCTCTTACACACCTAAAATGTGCGTTGCATCAAACTCCCTCGACGAAATCTCTGAAGGTCCAGAAAAAGACTGAAAATTTTTTACTCAATAAGCATTAAAGAGAAACTTCTCATAAATATCCAGAAGAATGTAAGGTTATGTCATTGTTTTTGGTTGGAGTTACTATATTTAGAATACACCCAGAAGTTTCTAGACTACAAAGTTTATATTAAATTTTATAAATACACTGCATTTTCGATTCATAAGTTAATCTTCAGTTAAAACGGGGTTTTTTAAGCCTCTATTGTTCAAGATGTCGGAATACAAAAATCGGCTTGGAAACGAGTAACAAGCATTGAAGAAGCAGATTTACCGTCTTAATCACTTTATCATAACTTTAAATGAGTTACTTAATAAAAATTGATATCCAAAAACAGTCCCATGTACATGGTTTTCAGATATACCTCATATATGATGACCTTGTTCATATTCGTTTTCCTACACTCAAGTGAATACGGGTAGGCTTGAACCCGAAACATAATGCTTTAACCTATCTGGAAAAAAATGAGTGTTCCAGCTTGTATAATTCGATTTAAAAGGCCAATCATCAAGTCAAAGAAACAGCCGCGGTTGTGCTTGTGCTAGTGTTTGATTAATTAACTTGAATGAAACAACTGGAATTGTTGTAACCCACAAAACTATACACTAGTGATAATGGCATCTTATAAAAAAACCCAAATTTTACTAGCGTTATGGATGAAAAGAACTGATTTATATTATTAATTAAAGACTACATATATGTATACCATAAAACCATACTTTTAAATCAGCGCAGCGATTTCGTTCAGCTTGTATAGCTTCTAACGAACGAGCATTGAGTTGTTCTAAACGAGCATTGTCTAATGTAAGTTGATGTAATGTTGTAGCTAACTCTAGCTCACATTCATCTTCATCATCATCATCATACTCTTCTTCTTCTTCATCGTCGTCGTCATCATCATCATCATCATCATCATTGTTTTGTTCATGTTTTGTTAGTTGTACATTTTGTACAGAATTTATATCGTTTTCTTCTTCAGTTAGTCGTGAATAAGCGACTGAATCGGGCGAAGAACATCTATTCGTCAAAATTGGTTCTTCCAACGAATCGCCATCATCATTATCATCATTAGTAGAATGAAGATGACGGTGGTGACGATCAGAATCACTTGAATATTCATCGAGTAAACATTTTTCCTTTTGATTATTAATACTACTGTATTGAGTAGTAGCAGTAGTATGATCGTCGTCATCATCATCGAGAACATTGTCATTGATTACAGTTGTTAAACTTTCAGCTATTTTAGTCCATGGTTGTGATACATAATAATTCATTTGATCCTCATTACTTAAAGTATGTCGTGGTGTTGAAAGAATGGGATTTTGATTTAACAACCAAGCTGGACAAAGATGTTTTGCCGTCATATAGGTACGATATATTCGTTTAGCTCGTCTACCTCCAGATTCTAGAAGGTGATTTATACATGACTATGTTGAAAGAAAAAAACAGAAAAATAGATCATAGAACAAATGATAAGTTTTTTTACAAAGAAACAAGGAATACTAATAATGAAGAATAAATAGAGTATTCAACAAAAAGCATATCGTTTCTGATTAAGTGTACTGATCAACTTCCATCTCTGAAATAAAAGTTATTTACACCATTCAGTGCTTAATGTAAAAATACAGCCAAACACTTACAGCTCTATCGAATTTATTTACAAAAAAATAGACAATGTTACTATATCAGCCGTCTGACGGATGCGAGTTCAAACATTACAGGGAACATTAGTTCCCTTATGATTGCGGATATTCCTTACTGATGAGTACCAGCTACCACAAAACCTAAACTCGGTGATTTGAATAGGTTACCTCCAACCGCCAAACACGGATATAAGTAAATTACGAAGAGAAATAAGTCAGTGTATCGAATAATTAATTTGATTACTACCGTGCCATTATTAAATGTAAACCCTTTCTTAACTAGAAATTCATGAGCCCCCGGACGCCCTGGTACGGCCGAGAGTGGGGAGAGTTTGCTCTCCCTCTCGAAATGCTCTCATATGACCACGCGTATATAGCCACTGCCAGGGAAGTCCTACTCACTGCACTACCCTCTCGTGGCATTACTGTTGTTTACGAAAATGAGAGGACGAAAAGCGAATGTTCGGCGCTTTAACCGGATCCCAAACCAATGGTGCACATGGGCTCCAGTATCCTGAAGGAACAAATAGCGTATGAACCAATTTCTTGGTCACCGGCTTCCATGGGACTGCATCTCCTCACGATGCTACACTGCCTTGTGGGTTAGACCTTTAGGTCAAAGGCTCGGGGTGTGACCCCCTAAGAGAACCACCTGCTTCGGTTTGAGCACCCGAGCAGTAACACAGACCTCACACATATCAATTGAAATCTGTGTGGTGCATATGTATTTGGTGCCTCCTTATACCAATATCTATGTGTTAAAATAAATAAATAAGCTCTTCAGATAATCTCCCATACTAGTTGATAGAGTATCATGATTACAGATCAAATTCATATGATCTATTCGCTACAGTAACAATTTCTAATCCAAAGTTAAACAGTTTTAAGGAGATTACATTGTACGACGATGCTTTAAAATTATGAGGTAGCAGATAATTTATTTTGTTTCAATCCGTGACCCTTCAGCAATATTCATCTATAAGTATTAAAGTCCGTAGTGAAAAACATTGATCCAATAATAATATTATTGAAATATCTTATAGAGATTAGTTCAATTTGTAAACTGTAATTGCCATGGGCTGAAGTACTATTGAAAATCAGGAAGCTCTGGAAAGTTATTTCATGGTAGTATGACACTCCACGGTCGTGTGCACATACGCCCCCCGCAATAGGGATCGAATTCATGACCTTAACAACTCAGGGCGAAAGTCTGCACTTTTAACCCCAATAGATGCGCAGCATAATGCGACAATAGCCTAAATCAACCTAGTTTAATAGTACCACTAACTTAAAACTTCGATAACCCATTAACAAGGCAAATCTGAAGATCTTGGTTCAGTCTCTAGACGGAAGTCCCATGTTACGACAAGACTATTGTTTAGTGCTCCCTGTTTTTTTGATGGCATTCAAACAAATGTCGATTTGTGACAAATACGACTTTAAAAAATCCTTGTGTTGGTAAGTAGCATGGAAAATTATTCCTACCTTTGGATAATGGAAAAAAAGGAATACAACCAAATTTAATATTTCATTGTCAGGCAGTCAGTAACAACGTGGAACTTCATACGTACGTACATCAGTTCGAGTTGCCATACCACATTGGCACAGTAATTCAGTTACTGATTCAAATCCCGTAGTGGTAGAGGTAGTGAAAGTATAAGTAGTAATAAGGAACATTAGGGTTTGATGATGTTATTTAAAGAGTATAATCCAGTGGAATAGATTTGGAAAGAAAATAAAGGACATGAAGAATACAGAAGATTATAATTTGAGAGAACACAAAGAGTGGATGCACCTGCGCCATTGCAAACGATTTTGAGCCATGTCATTCAGGGTCTCTAACCATCTGTTGCTATCGTCTGGCGGATCCCAAACAGGTAGTCTACACCTACCAACATGGCTCAGTCCACTTGTCAGTGACTTCATGGATTTGTGCCATGTTTTGATCTGACCGCTTCTAGCTGTATTACTAATAGTGAGAAATACAAAGACGGAGAGTATAGTGAGGAAAGATAGAAGAAAAAATGAAATACTGGAACTCAAGATCTAGAAGAAGAAAGAAAATAAATATATTTACGTTAACATTCCTAACAACTGGCCGCGGTTACCGTGCAAACAACAACCAAGTAAGTTAGAACAATTAACGAAACGGTAGTATTCCACACATTCAACATCGAAAATCATCTTATAATGAACAAGATACATTATAAACCATGCAATTAATAACTTGATACATTGGTTAAAGTCATTGGCAAACTCGTGAGTTAGTTATTACCAATGATTGTGGACTTTAAGGTTGTAAATCGACTGTTTTTATTCGCTATCTTTTTCTTTTATAAATATTAGGGTTTAATATTAATCCACCCCTTTTTGAACTATATTCATTTATATTAAATATTTATCACTATCACTGATAATACTACTACTCATACTTTAGCTTATCTGCTTTCCACTTTCATTGATTTCACTGTTTCTGTACAGTGTAATAACTAGAACTGAAGTATATTTATGTTCAGATTTCAAGTTATTTAAGATCAAGACTTAGAAATTCAGTTGAAAATCGTCAATATCGTCATTTATATCAAGATGGTAACCTGTCGTTTAGTGTATACAATATCTTTCTTTATATAAATTGTACTGTAACATATAATTGAAAAACACTTTCAATGGAACAAATAGATAAATACACAATGTGAATGAGTAAATAATTTATCACAATTAAGATTTATCATTTATTTAAACATATAAACTTCGGTACAAGGAGGCATCAAATAGATGTGCGCCACATATATCATTCGATTTGTGTGAGGGTTGGGATACTGCCCAGGTTCCCAAACCGAAGCAGGTAGATTCCTTAGTATGTCACACCCCGAGCGTCTGACCTAAAGGTCTGACCCATAAGGCAGGGAAACAACTTCAGGAGATGCAGTAACACAGTAACCAAAGACCAACAATAGGTTCATACACCTTTTGTTGTCTTAGGATCCTGGAGTCCATATTTACCGTTGGTTTGGAATTAGGGTTTTCCAATTCCCTTAAGTGGACGTTCCGTGTCCACCAACCCAGTTAAAGCACCGGACATTCACTTTTTGTCCTCTCAATTTCGTAAATAACACCCCTCCCACGAGAAGGAAGTGAGCAGGGGTTCCCTAGGAGTGGTTGTATCCACGTGGTCATGTGAGAGCATTCCGAGAGGGAGAGCGGACTCTCCCCACTCGCTCGGCCGTACCAGGAAATTTGTGGGCTATATCCAGATATATAATAATATCAGTTTCTCATGGAAACCAGTAGTAACATAAATCAACTAACAAACTGATTAATTTACCTGTAGTCGACTAATTTCTGCATTTTCCGAACGAATTCTTGCACGTAAATCCGTTTGTATTGCGATCAATTCTTGTTTACGTGCTTTATAATACATAATTTGACGTGATTTCGAATCATTTATATCGACTGTAGAAGTTTTAATAAATTCTGATAATTTTGGCGCTAAATCCGATGGTGGTGGAAGTGAAGGTGAATAACTCACAGAATAAGTTGAGTTATCAACAGTCGAAATTGTTTCATAAGGATATAATACAATATTATCAGTATTATCATTAGTATTCGTGGAGATTAATATATTCTGAGTGTACGCATTAGGAATAGTTTTGTTATTAATTTCTGTAGGAGTTGGGTCTGAAGGTGAATGTGCAGTATCCACAGATTTGGTTTCTTGTTCAATGACCTAAAAAAAATTGAAATGAGAAAAATAAAATACACATATGTATACTACTGATTTGTGAAAAATTTGCTTTGAGGTTAGAGCTAGAGGAGAATTCCATTTTAATAAATAAATAAATAAACAGTAGAAATGTGACTAGTCAAACACAAATGTGTTTTGATACAAAATTATAATACTACACGTTCCATAGATAAGTCGATAATTGTAAGAAGCAGACAATAAGGTTCAACAAGAAGAAACAATTATCCCGAGTAACAGTCAGTCAGCAACAGCGTAGGACCAGGCACATAAATGAATCGGTCCAAGTTGCCACACCTTATTAGCACAACAAGATGAACATCAAATTCATAGTAGTTACTCGAATAGTGACCAAAATGGTGTAGGTGTATACACTCTGTGTTCCTTTAAACTATGAGATTAAAATCACTTCATATCTTTCTTTCGACGTACTAAATCTTTCTTCCTGTACTATATCCTTATATGCAATCTTTCTTTTATACATATTACCACCACTGAATTAGATACTTCTATGAATCCGGTATTCATATTGTTGTGCTAGTGAAGTGTGGTAACTTGGACCGACACATTTATGTGCCTGGTCCTACGTTGTAGCTGATTGATTGACTCCAACGGTAGTAATATATAAATGAAAGACTTCATATTAGCATATAATACAGAGAGAAAGAATTAGTTCGTAGAAAGAAAGGTATAAAGTAATTTTAATCTCATACTTTAATGGAAGACAAAGAGTGTATACACCTACGCCGTTGTGATCGATTCTGAGCCATGTCACATGGACCCCATTCTAACAATATAACATACAGAGAGAGGTGTTTTGTGGACATTACAGTAATTTGATAGTTGAATTCATGAGTCAATTAAAGGTAGATCACCATGGAAAACCTGGATGGTCATTTCGTCCTAGTATGAGACTCCTTAGCATTGCCGGTTCAGTGGTCTAGAGGTTAGGCGTTCGCACGCCAGACGGACACGTTCTGTGTTCAAATCTCGCGAGGCGGGATCATGAATGAACACTGTTGAGGAGTACCATACTAGGACAAAACCGCCATCCAGTGCTTCCAGGTGGTCTAGCTTCATTTGACTCATGAATTCAACCGTTAAATACATACAATTGTTAACGATTAGTCACGAAGTAGAAATATTGGAAACTAATGCTTATTTTCATGTTATAAGCAAATTATGAATAACAATAATCATGATAATAATAAAATGTTTACTTGATTATCCATATTAGGCATCTGACTAGATTTCACAGTCATAACTTGTTCATACATGAATTTATCATTCATATGATTATCGTTATTCCTATTATCTGTATTCATTGTAGTAGCAATAGTAGTGCTATCTTTTAAATATCCTTGATCTTGGTGATTATTTTCATCTTGTACAATATTATTTACATTTAATGTATTATGGCTGATATTATTAGCACCGCTGCCACCTTCACCTTCACTAACATGATTATCAATATGATGGTTATCTTCTTGATGATGTATACAATCATTTGTAGCCACTGTCCCAATTGTAGTAGTAGTAGTAGTTATTGTTTCCAATGATGTTACTACTGTTGATGATGAAATTTGTTCCATAAATTCTGTCTTATCACCGTTATTAACATTATTGATTGATTGTTCTGAACAACTATTACTAGTTGTAGGTACTAATAATTGTGTTATTGAAGTAATTGGTTCAATTGGTGGTAATTTTCTAAATATATTGATATCATCGAACAGTGAAAAAAGAAAGGTTACGTTTTAAACAAAACTTGCATGATAATTTCAAAGAAGAAAATGGATCTTCTTTATCATCATTATAGAATCGTAGAAATTTGATGGGGGAATTAAATATTTCTATACAAAATAATGATGGAGTACTTTTTACAAATAGACCGTAGAAACATGAATATGAATAAGTAATTAATACTAATGTGTAAATAATACATGCTTATATAAACCAACACACTTATGCATACATACATACACACATACATACATATACATGCATACAATACAAATAAACTAAACAATTAAAAACAAACAAACAAAAGAACAGATAAACAAACAAACAACCTTTAAAGATAGCTAAAGTAAATTTTAATCTTGATGGTGGCGTGAGTGATGAGATCAATTGAGTCCGTCAGTAACAACGTGGAACTTCATACGTACGTACATCAGTTCGAGTTGCCATACCACATTGGCACAGTAATTCAGTTACTGATTCAAATCCCGTAGTGGTAGAGGTAGTGAAAGTATAAGTAGTAATAAGGAACATTAGGGTTTGATGATGTTATTTAAAGAGTATAATCCAGTGGAATAGATTTGGAAAGAAAATAAAGGACATGAAGAATTTAGAAGATTATAATTTGAGAGAACACAAAGAGTGGATGCACCTGCGCTATTGCAAACGATTTTGAGCCATGTCATTCAAGATCTCTAACCATCGGTTGCTATCGTCTCGCGGACCCCAACCAAGTAGTCTATACTTATCAATTCATGTATCATGAAAGCCAGAGCGGCTTATGCCAATCTAGACAATCTTTGGCGCCTTCGTGATGTTAGTCTGGCTGTAAAAGGTCGGATCTACAACGCGACGGTGAGAGCAGTTTTGCTCTATGCTTGTGAAACCTGGCCTCTCCGAGTTGAGGATGTTAGACGACTCTCTGTGTTTGATCATCGTTGTCACCGAAGGATTGCTGACATCCAGTGGCAACACCATGTTAGTAATGCAGAGGTTCGACATCGTGTGTTCGGGCGCAGAAACGATAATGAAATTGGTGTGACCATCTTGAAACATCGACTTCGGTAGCTTGGACATGTTCTACGAATGTCGTCCCAGAGAATTCCACGTCGTGCATTATTTGCCGATACTGTGACTGGTTGGATAAAGCAGAGATGTGGTCAGTGTATGACATGGTGTCGTGGTATGAAACAAAGCTGCACAGGACTGTTTTATGTTGGTCCTTCACGACTCCCTGGCTGGAGTCCGAGAGATGGTGCGACACAGTGGTTAGAGACGTTATCAAATATGGTTCAGAGTAGAAGCCAGTGGCGATCCTGCTGTAACCTTCTTTTACTTTCTTCATAAAAAGTGGTTGCTTCTTCCTCAACTGAAAGATTTCTTCTGATTGTACCTTTCTGTTTTCCCCATTATTATTATTACACTACATTACACTAATCTGGTCGTTATTGTTCTTCTGTCTTTTCTTTTACACCGTTTACCTCCTTTTTTTCTCTTCTCATTCTCATTGTTTTATATGGCGCATATATAATTAGTGCTCCCCTTTATGTGTTCAAATAAATTAACACATCAATTTCAATGATGCCTTTAAACTTGATATAAATAAAACATGATATTCAAAGATGAATTCATAAGTCGATATCAACTAGACTATCATTGAAAACTTGGAAACACTGGATGACCATTTCATGAAATATGATAGTTAAATTAGTTTTGTATAATTATAGATACTATGTAACATGCTTACTTGTATTCACCTATACTCAATCATTTAAAACGATATAAAATAATGTAACTAACCGAAATGATCAAAATCAGTTAACTAGTGAAAGTTAAACTTCATCATCGAGATAAGCTGTTTGATGATTAAATGAGGTTTTCGTTGTTCAATAAAAAATACTATTGATGTTAGAGGGACATACATCGGATTAAATCATGCTCAATGCAGGATTGTTTTGGTGCACGCTGATTGGCTAATTCTTTCCCAATCAGCACTGGTCGATACTTGGAGAATACTCTGGAAATATTCTCATGTAAAAACTATAAATATACTAACATTTTTCCTATTGTGCTTCTTATTTCCATCTAACCTTGTTATTTGGAATTTAATCTCTTTCTTGTTCAACCGTGTTCTGATTTGGGGACTTGTCGAGTGAATCGGTGTCCGAGAATACTAAGCAATAGGAGTAGCTGAGTTATAACTGTAAGAGAGAATTATAACAATTGATAAATGTTACAAGTCTAATCGAGTAACATATCCGTCGTATGATAATAAATAATAGTTGATCAACTGGTTTTTATCAAAAATTTACGTTTACCTGGTGATACCTGTAGAACTAATAATAAATTAAACAAACAATGGTTGGGAGTTCTTTTCATCTTATTGTATAATACTAAAACAGAATTGTGGAAAACATGCGCAGACAGTATGGATATAGATGTTCAGTAAACATCCATCATATAAAGTATGATGTAAAGAGAGAAGCGTCAAAAATTTGATAAAGAATTGGTTATGGACATCAAGTTGTTGACTATGGACGTGGTAGTTTTACGATACAACAAGGTCAAAAATACTTGCCTTATCTGGTTAGCATTTTTTTCTACAGGATGGGGTTGTCGACTCCATAACCAACCCTCTCTCCTTTACTCGGGCTTGGGACTGGTAGTAACTCTAGAAGTTTTAGAAATTTGCTACTTTCCCTCAACTATGATTGATATGAAAATTACTATTTGCTTATCAATGATTTGTGCTAGTCAATTCGACAGTAGAATAAATTAGCTAAGAGGATTAAATTAGTTCAGATCAGATCTCAGATCAGTTCTTATATCCTTAATTTTGAAATAAATTAAAATATGGATGAATTCATAGTCTTGCTTTTCAAGGCAAAAAATAATAATTAACTCTCACCTCAACGTTAAATTAAGAACTTCCTCTTGATCTAATTCTGAAACGGACGGTATAACTAATGGAGAACCAGACATAAACATAACACAAGGATAATTTGATTTTAACTCATTTGTTCCTGCTAACGATGATGATGATGTGGACGTTGCTGTTGTTATATCTGGTGATGATTGTTGATTTTGTTGTAATGCTTTCGACCTTTCATGTTGTTTTAACTTGCGTTTAAGCGTTGTTATTTCACGTTGAACTTCCCATAGTTCATCAGAATAAGGAATCTTCTCAAAGGTTGTTGAATGTTGACGATGACCTTTTGAGTATTTGTCAGTTCCAGTTATTCTAATTTTATGTTATTTAATTAAATACAAACACATATGTGAGAAATAGTTATATGAAAATAAAGAACAAATTATAACTATAGATAATAAAATACTCATGACAATATATTATACTTGATTACACATTCAGTGCTGATGACAGTAAAGTGTTTCTATTAGACAATTAGCATCTCCAGCGATGCCGCTTTACTACGAATGAAGGATTGAGTTGGTAAAGGTCATTTCTAAAAATAGCACACTTCACTTTAACTTATAGATTTCTGGCGCTAGCTGCAAAGTACGAAACGTACGGAGCAAACATGAAAAAGACTGTGTGTAATTGACTTTAAGTGGTTGTACTCTGGGATCTATAAACATAAACACAGGTTTTCAGGACAACACTTAACCTAGTTTAGTTTTTAGGTCGAAAGTATTTGAGTACAAAATTACAGAGAATCTCAATAAAATCTGAGAACCATATAGTAAAACGTTAGTTTGCAAAATATCAATCCATCATATCAAACTTGACTGTTCCTGTCACAAACATAAATCTATTGTCTGATATTTCATTGTTCATGCGTTTTCATACCAATTGCGTTCCGTTCCCGTGCTTTCCTTATCGGCATTCTACTGAAATACATTCTATGCCTTACATCGTTATATACTACTCGTGTGGATGTAAGCAACCCACATCACACTCGTCCACCCTTTGAAGCATTCGTCCTTGTGGTGGTTCTGTTCGCCGTGCCACTTTCTTCTTCTCTGAAGTCTGTGCCGCGCTCTGTCAAAATGTCGAGTCTGCGGCACGCAGACCTCCGTAGCTCCGCCAACCTGCCGAGGCATAACATTTTCCGACACTCTAGCTACTGACTCAATTACGATGGTTGAAGTTGCGCGTACCATGACGCACCAATTGAACTGTACTGAATGCAATACTTATTCCTATAGAACTGATAACAAACCAGGGAGCGACATTAGACAACGATTTCGTCCTCAATTAGGACTCCTCAGCAGATTAGTACGTAGCCCAAAATTATCAGTCATTCTCCCGTTGATATCAGTCCGTTGTGATGAAAAATACACTTTCATTAATGTTGGATAATTCTTCCACAAAAACTGCCCTTTATTTAAATTGTTTTGGGCAGCCAGATCAGCGTCAGTAGTAGTTACTCAAAAAATACGGCTTGAAGTTCAATGTGCAAACCTGTACCTCGTAAATGGGTTATACTATTTATATTCATTATTTAATAAATGTCTGACAGACGATGGGATCAAAAAACGAGAATATTCAGAAAAATAAGTGAATGATAAGCCATTCAAACAAACAAACACACCTTCGACGTTGATTACAATTATCTTTGGATCCACTCGATGTACCTGAGCATCCATCACCACTAACAGGGACAGTAGTAGTAGTAGCAGAATTCATAGTAGTAGTTGGTATTGATATACTCTGTATTATTAAATTATGTAATCGATCTAAGTATGCTTGTTGTTTAATTATTTCTTGTCGAATAGCTTCAGGATCTGTTAGAGTTTTACGTCGTTTTAATTCTGTCATTATACGCTGTACCTAAATTTAGTTTTCAAAACAAAAGAAAAACCAACAACAAGAAAGTAAGTACAATATATAAGAGGATAATGATTTCATATTAATCGGCTTAAGTATTCACGTATGTATGTATGGGTGCATCTGTATAATAATCTTTTATAGATATAATCAAAATGCATATTTGGATCTTATTGTGTATGACTAGAAAAAATGATAACTACTACTTTTTTTTAAAAAAAAAACTGACACCAATTCCTTATTATGATTTTACATAGATGTGAATTGTTGAAAATTAGTCACAATAAATTGTGTTAGGTCTATCGAAGCGTCCGGGTCACCCAATTGAAATACGCGCAAAACCGATGTTCCAAAACAATGATTTGTCTACAATAGTGGTTCTTTATTGAATAATACACAAAAATTAGTTACAAACTTCATTTTGTGAGGTGTTTAATGCGTCCTTTCTTTATAAAGTAAAAAGGCTTCCTGTAACGGCAACAATTACAATGTACCATAATACAAAAGACAGATGATAGCTGTCTAAATTTGATAACAGTTTATCAACAACCGAAATCCGAACCAAGAGCAAAACAATATGGAAACTGGTGCGTTTAAACAAATACACAAAACCATAGATCACTGCTACAGTGATTAAGGTAAAATAACTGTAATGATAAATACAATAAACGTTACAAGCATATGTAAAAATTGCTGAGAATACAACTGTTTACTGAATATAAATAAGTAGTATAAAACAATGTACGAAAGAATGGAAGAGAAGCGAGTAAGAACAATGTAAAACAAACTTAACAACATGGATTGGTTAGTTATAATATGCTTGAATATTTTTAAATAATAGATAGTTAAATAAAACATGATTTCATGAATTGTTTAGGAAAACTTGTATTTGAGTAATACGATATAAACAACAAGAATCACACACTTCAGATTGTGTTCGAATCCCTTGATACAACTGAGAGTGAAAAGGGTCCTTTATTTCATTCTGGAGAGATTGTCGCGAGCTATTAGCTTTTTCGAACAAATATTATACTTAACTGATTCAAGTAGTAATAAAGTTTTTCGATAAAACTGAGAGAGGAAAATAAGAAATTCAGTGCATCAATCGGATAGGTTTATACAAACGACATACAAAGACGTTGGAAAATTTTAATTCTAAACTGATAGTGTATTTGGGATTCATGATTATAAATGATCAAATGGTGTAAAATTACACAGTGATTACGAATGGAATGTTGTGTTCTAAACTATAATTGTATGGCTAAAAACGGAAGTCTTTAACCAATCAACTTATTACTACTAACGAATTTGTATTTCAACTTAACAAACTCAAACGAATCCGACAATGATGCCAGTATAATGAATACAATTTGAGTAGAGAAAGAAAGCACACATAAACCATCAACTAAAACTTACATTACGTAAATTAGTTTCTTTACCGGAATTCCCTTCATCACCATCCAGTTGAATTTGTTCACATAAATAAGTAAGCAACGATTCTTGTTTCTTCAATTCCATATCTAATTCCTCATTAGTATCAGGCAAATCTAATCCATATAATGATTTCAATGGAGGTATATAAGATTTTAATAGGTAAATTGGATGAGGAAATAACCAATGCCAAGTACTCGAATCAATATTATTTGTCATGAATGTAGGCAATTTAGGATCTAATTTACATAGATCCAAAGAAAAATCTTTAACGCATATATTTACAATAGACAGTTGGAATGAGTAGCGAAATGGATTGATTATTGAAGAACGAATGATGATTGAAATTGAATAACAATAAAAAAACAAAACATAATTAATTACATTCGGCCAACTTCATATCGTAGTTAATAGAGAAGGTTGCATTATTATTAATATTACAAGTTAAAGTCAAACGTTTATGTGCTGAAATTACTACAGGACTGGGAATCATAAACATTGACCACTTTCATATGATTGGTTAAATTCAATTAATACTTTAACTGACCAACTGATTATTGATTTCTCTAGGTCTTGAGAAAACTGGTTTAAACAATTGTGTTTTTTCCTCATTATTTATTTTAACACATAAACATTGGTACAAGAAGGTACCGAATACATATGCGCCATATAAATCATTCGATTTATGTGAGGGCTAGCATACTACCCGGGTGCTTAAAACGAAACAGGTGGTTTCCTTAGGGGGTCTCACCCAGAGCCTTCGCCCTAAAGGTCTGATACACAAGGTAGTGAAGCAACGTTAGGAGATGCAGTCCAATGGAAGCCGGTCACCAATAATTGGTCCATACGACATTTGTTCCTTCAGGATACTAGAGCCAATGTTCACCATTGGTTTAGGAATTCCCAACTCCCCTTGATGGATCCACTATATTCAACAACCCGGTTAAAGCGCCGATATTCGTTTTTCGTCCTCTCAATTCGTAAACAACATTAATGCCGTAAGAAGGCAGTGAGTAGGACTTCTCTGGTAGTAGGCTTAGGGCTTAGATATTACGAAGACTTGTCGTTTACAGAACAGAAATCGAAACAGACCTCTAAGTCACAACGTCTAGTAGGTTACATAACTCAAAACCTTTATAACAATGAGTTACGTATTTTAATGTACAAAGTTTGTGTTCGACCTCTTCTAGAATATTGCACGTTTATTCTTAGCAGTGCGCGCATAAAGGATAAATTAAGGCTGGAATCAGTACAGAGACGATTTACACTTTGTAATCTTGGAGCTGATTGTACCTTAACTTATAATTCTAGATGTAATAAACTTGGGCTAGACCCTTTATGGAAGAGAAGACTCAAACTAAATCTTATCTTTTTCTTCAAACTACTTAGTAAACTATCCTTTACATCCAATCACGTGATTCAATATGCAGAAACTTCTCATTATGAAACCCGTAATTCCTTGGCACTGGTGAAACAAACTTATTCTAAATCATCTCTTTATATGAATTAATTTGCCTGTAAATTTTCTAGACTCTGGAATAACCTACTACCTATCCGTACAATAAAATCACTCCGATTATTTGTTCGTTGCACCTGTAAGTGTATCTCATTCCACAATTGATATTATAGGGACTTTAAATGTTTAGCCATCTTTATTAGTGCATATCCTAAGCAAAACCACCTACTTGTTGTCAATTTATGTTAACACCGTCCCCAACAAGTTTAACTAATTTGAATAACATCAACAGTATATCACTGTGTCACATGACACACGCATTTTGGTAGATCTGATTGATATATTTTGATAATTACTGCTTTGTTGTTCCGTGCTCTCTGTTTTCGTTTTAATTTCTCCGGTTGTAAATAATTATCATTAATTCGATCTGGCACGCGAAATGACCTTAATTACACCGTTCACAAATCAACAGGCTGTCCAGTTAAGAAATATTAAATGTTCCCGGTTGATGCATTGGATCGCTGTAATACCTAAACAATTACTGAACTAGTAACCTTAAAACTCCTATCACATGTTTGTTCTGTACATATAATAATATTATTTATATCAAATTGATCATGCCTGTAAACTGGCGTGAATTCTGTAATTATTCTTTTTTCAGAATATAAATTATTATAAAACAATATGGAAACCTTTGCGTTTAAACAAATGCACAAAACTGTGGATAACCGCTACAGTGATTAAGGTACAGTAATTATAATGATAAATACAATGATAAGTACAATAAACGTTATAAGTATATGTGATTCATAGGTCTTCGTTTCTATTAAGTACGGTAGGGTTTGACAATATATAAGAAGCTCTAAACACTCACCTTCCTTAATAATTAGAAAAACCTCGTTGATATGACTAATATTGATTTGTGGTTGCTAAAAATAAAATGTACTAATACTACTCTTGATTTCATTTGTAGATTTTCCAGTTCTACAGGATTATTTAATGGCCATTTATCTAGCTTATATTGTTTCCTGGCACGAATCACCGATTCCCGAGAATATCCTCAAATACCAAAAGCATCACAATTTATACATCCTAATTTATGGACACCATTGTGTTTCGAGGTAAGGTAAAGTATTTCGAAGAATAACAGTTATTTCATAGAAGGCTGTAATTCTGTATAATTTAAGAATTCGCTTTAGTTCATCATACGCAAAATACTTCGGATCCGTTGGCCGGACACTATTAGCAACAACCTACTGTGGGAGAGAACAAACCAGATTTCAGCGGAGGAAGGAATCAGGAAGAAGCGCTGGAAGTGGATAGGACACACATTGAGGGAAGCACCCAACTGTATCACAAGGCAAGCACTCACTTGGAATCCCCAAGGCCAAAGGAGAAGAGGAAGATCAAAGAATATATTACGCCGAGAAATGGAGACAGACGTGAGAAAAATGTACGTCCGCGGCCTATGCTCCATCAGGAGTAACAGGCGTAAGTAAGTAAGTAAGTAGGTTCAGTTCATCACCTTGATATAGAATTGTTGCCTAAATTTGACATTCTCTAATATATGATTCCAGAATGATAGATTTTTTCGAAGACCGAGTACTCCAAGACTTTATGGCGTATCTTATAAAAAACCATTAACATACCTTGACAGAGTCAATGATGATAAAGTGTTGCAAATCTTAATCATCATTTCAAAATGAGTTTCAAAAACATTGATAAACAAATCAATAGAACAAATTCAACTTCTGAAAAAGACATCATCCTTATCGTTATACCAAATAGTCTATATTATATAAACCCCGTTCATTAAAACGAAAAAATATCATACTTCTGATCATTACAACTAATCAGTCAGCGCTTGGAAGGTCGAAGTCGAACATAATTAGCTTTAAAAGACACGGTAGTTATCTCTTTCCGTAATACAAGTTTGAGATATACTGCTTTTAATGAAGACCTAGTTGTAGTATACACCTGTTCAAACTAGTATAGGTAGGATGTAATTAAAATCTGAATATATCATATCATCCCATACTAGGACGAAACGGCCGTCCAGTGCTTCCAGGTTTTCCATGGTGGTCTAGCTTTAATTGACTCATGATTTCAACCAGTGAAATTTCTAAAATCTCCACACAACCCCTACTGATAATAACAATAATCATCTGCTTACTAGTGACTGACTTCAAGAGATACTCCTGGAGTTCTAGTGAGAAGCCGTTAACAGTGGAGTTCAACCAGATCTGTTGTGAAATATCAACTCACTGAAGATAATGGTGTACGGTGGCGCAACTTCGTGTATCATATCATATTGTTTTAACCATGATTAAGCTAACACATTCTGTCCGTAATCACTACTGATTTACTATAAACAACAATAATATATTGTATAAAATAAAATAAATAAAACATACCTTTAGGTGGTATAGAATTTAATAATATACCCAATAAACGATGACTTATGCCTAAACATGGTGACAAAACAATAATAATATTCGCTAATGTCATACGATTTTCACCAGATCTATCAATAATATGCATCATATGTTGTATAATCCATGCTAATAAATAACGATTTGATATAGGTAATTCTTGATGGATTAAAACCGATAAATTATGATAGAATTGTACATTATTATCTGTAGTGAATGATTCAATAACATTACTTAAACGTTTAGTTAAAATAGATTCAGGTAAACTACGTAGAAAATGTTTGACAACACTGGCAATAACAGCTGGATCATGTGGTAGGATAGTGATTCCTGTTGTTTGTGGACTTGTACTATTATTATTATTATTATTATTACTATATGGTAATAGAGTTGAAGTTTGTTTCACTGGTGAATTACTACTATTAAATAATCCTGAATTGGAATTTTTTACACAAAATGCTCCTGTAATAAAATTAGTCGGTGTGGGAATATTTCTGCTACGATGATCTGAAGTTTTATGAGATAATTGAGAATTTTGATCTTTTAATTTAGAATGAGCTAAAAATTAAAAAAAAATAATACATATGTGAAAAGGAAGCAAAAAATGAGATCGAATATATGCGAAAATCAAACGTGCTTTGTGGTCATATTATTCAGGTGTAATGATAAGTGATCTAAAGTGGATTTGAAACGCGGTTAATAATTAGCTCTTGAATCATGTTATCACAAAATAACTTAGTATGGGACTCCTCAGCAGTACGTACCCACGATCCCGCACATAGAACTCGAATCCAGGATCTTCGGTCTGTCGTTCGAACGCTTGACGTCTAGACCACTAAGTCAGCACCCAACAGTGTGACTTCTTGTGGACAGTATTTTGTAATGGTATTTTATTTAATATTATCTTTATAAACAATTTCTCACAAGCCGTTTCCAAGTGTGCACCTCTATTCAATTAAATCACCTGTTTTAACTATAGTTTGCTGAGTTCGATTAGATGCGAAACATATAATATGTCCGACTACTGTATCATTATGATGACTTCAAGTTTAGTCTACGTGAAAATCGTCATCATTAAATCAAATATATGTTAGTTAGTAAAAATATAACAATAACGGTTATACAGAAATACCAGCCAATTACTTATATAAATAAAAAAACCTGGCACATATATGAATTGTTTCAAGTTATCATTCTGGATTAGTAATACGGTTGATGAAACTTTCAAGATAGTTTCTCAAAGCGTTCAAGAGGCTTTGTTTTGTCAGGAAAGAAAATATTCATTTAATCTAATGATAACAAATGAAGTTCTCCGTAAAACAAAACAGAACAGTCAGATCATGTGTATGTGTATGTGTGAACTGGTTTTATCGGGTAAATCACATCGACATAACAAGATGAAATGAACACAAAAATGCGTTGAATGATTATTATTACTCTCAATGATTGATTGTGAGAAATAGTAAAAATTTAAAGCATATGATTAGAAAAGAAGAGATGAATTCGTGGAAGAAAAAAAAAGTAAAAAAGAAAACATTGTTGAAAAGTCAAGATCTTATGTCTCAATTTAATCTTTCTACTAACATAATCTTCTACTTGATAGTAGTGAGTGTTGAAATGGACGGTAGTTGAACATGTGTGATATATATATATATATATATATATATATATATATATATATATATTCCAACTTCTTGCAGTAGATGAAGATTTGAAGCATTAATTTACTGGTTTTATATCTTTAAATAGAAACCTACGCCTAATCTCAGTATTATTACTAAGAAATACATATTGTAATAAGCGCTTAAGTATTGAGAATATAGAGATTAGTATTACTATCATTTAACATGTTAACTTACATGAACTTAGATGTCGTATTTTTCCCTTAGAAATAGAATCGGATCCAATTTGAAAATGACTAGAACGTTGTTTAGTATAGCTAGCTTGATTACAATAAAATGCAGCTGATGTCGGCGGAATATCTGGAAATTCTATACCATTATCGATTGCAGAAATGACTGCTTGTACTTGTGAATGTACACCTGGTACCTAAATTTTATATTAAGAAAATTAACTGTATAGAAACAAAACATAGCCAATGAGATCAATAAAAAGAGATATAGATCAAATTAATCTGGACTAATATCGATTAAAAACCAGAGAGCATATTGGATGACTAAAGATAAACAGACGCTGAACGCCAGAAAGTATTGAACATTTGTTTCATCGTAGTGTCGGATTTATCGACAGTGCGTATCGAATTCAAGATCTTAGGTTATTTCAGAGAGTGCTTAATCCGTGTCTCCTATTATTATTATTTTAACACATAGGTATTGGTACAAGAAGGCACCAAATACATATGCGCCACACGAATCTCAGTTGATTTGTGTGAGGGCTGTGATACTGCCCGGGTGCTCAAACCGAACCAGGTGGTTTTCTTAGGGGGCCACACACCGAGCCTTTGACCTTAAAGGTCTGATCCACAAGGCAGTGGAGCATCGTGAGGAGATGCAGTCCCATGGAAGCCGGTGACCAAAAATTAGGATACTGGAGCCCATGTGCACCATTGATTTTGGATCCGGTTATAGCGCCGGACATTCGCTTTCCGTCCTCTCATTTTCGTAAACAACAGTAATGCCACGAGAAGGCAGTAAGTAGGACTTCCCTGGCAGAGGCTGTATACGCGTGGCCATGTGAGAGTATTTCGAGAGGGAGGGCGAACCCACCCCACTCTCGGCCGTACCAGGGCATTTGGGGGCAATCCGTACCTCCATTGAGTTGCAAACCAATGATTAACAATTCTAACTTTGGCTGTTCAAAAATTACTTTATTTTTGTTCATATATTTGGATTTCAAACCTCAGTTAGTTTATGAACCTACACAATCATCATCCAATACAACGGGTCGGTAACTGCTATACTCGGACTTCAAAGGTCATAGCTACTCACTGGAATTCCGAGAAATTAGCTCTTAAAATTAGTCACTAATACGAACATGATTATTGTTAGTAAAGTGGTTTGGAATTGATTGTTGAATGTAGTACTCTATATCAATAATTGACTGGATCCTCCATATCCATCAAGCTGGTTAAAGCACCGGATATTTGCTATCCGTCCCATCCATTTCTTAAAGAACACCCCCACTGAGAGAAGGCAGTGATTAGGAATTCCCTGTCGTTGGTTGTATACGCGTAGCTATATGAGAACATTAGGAGAGGAAGAGCTGACTTTCCCTACCCTCGACCGTACCATAGCATTTGAAGGCAATATTACATTTTCTGAATGTAAATAACTAATAAAAAGAAAATGTATACTTACACGATAAATTCCTTCAGAACTTAAACCATACTGTTCAATATAATCGATACAATGACGAAAAAACGCTGGCAGAACGATTCCATCATGACTAGGATTTCTGTTACAGGCTATATCTAAAGGCATTCCAAAAATGGTCTAAACAATGAAAAAGATAGAAACGAGAAAAGCAATAATAATTACACTAAATAATGTGGATTATAAAATGAAAGTAAAATTTACATAAGACGTTATCGATGTATTTAAAAGTATGTCGGGAGATGTGCTGTGTGTGGTCAACTACCGTCTACTTCGGTACGTGATGCTGTATGACATAGGAATAACTTGGAAAAAGTTAAGTGAGACCATAACAAGACACGACACCAGTAAGTGCAGGCTAAGTCGTTAAGTGAATTCTATGTAATTATCCTAACCAATGGTTCGCATGGTTGAGCGAAAAATTTACCATTAAGTCCTGGGTTCTCAAAATAATAATTTTAGGTTTATAATTATAGAGTTTGATGAAGAGATAACCGAAAACGAACTATTTATTAATATTCTCTTCCTTATACTAATAACTTGAAACGATCCATATACATGTTAGCTCCTACGTGACTTAGAACTGACCAACTAACATGCTAAAACACCAGTATATCATATGTCGTCTGGCGGATCCCAACCAGGTAGTCTACATCTATCAACATGGCCCAGTCCACTTGTTAGTGACCTCATGGATTTGTGCCATGTTTTGATCTGGCCACCTCTAACGTTCTTCCAACCTACTCCTATACCACTGAACATCGGACGTCGGGGCAGTCGGTGGTTGAGTATACGTAACACGTGTTCCAGCCATCTCAACTCATGAAGTTCTACTACTTCGTCAATTGATTTGCAATACCTACCTAGTTCCCGTTTCCTAACAACTGAGTTACTTACTCGGTGGTCCCAGGGGAATATTTTCCATAAGCAAATAGTTCATCATGGTTTTAGTGCGTGGGCTGAGATACTGCCCAGGTGCCTAAACCGAACCAGGTGGTTTTCTTAGGGGGCCACACACCGAGCCTTTGACCTAAGGGTCTGATCCACAAGGCAGTGGAGCATCGAAAGGAGATGCAGTCCCATGGAAGCCGGTGACCAAAAATTAGTTCATACGCCATTTGTTTCCGCAGGATACTGGAGCCCATGTGCACCATTGAATTGGGATCCGGTTAAAGCGCCGGACATTCGCTTTTCGTCCTCTCATTTTCGTAAACAACACCGGTGGTGCGAGAAGGAAGTGAGTAGGACTTCCCTGGCAAGGCTGTATACGCGTGGCCGTGCGAGAGTATTTCGAGAGGGAGGGCGAACCCTCCCCGCTCTCGGCCATACCAGGGCATGTTTCACTGCCATAAAATGGGACGGAACGAACTGCTGTGCAGTAAACGCATCCTTTGGTTGAAAGACGGATATCTCACCTACGCCACAAATGATGCAAGTTGGCAAAAGCTAGTCGAGCCTTCTGTATCCGTGCTGAGATTTCGTCATACACCAGACCACAAGGGCTGATGAGACTACCAAGATAAGTGAAGCGGTCGGCACGCTCAACTATTTCACTTTACATCATATGTGACAATTAAGTTACTGTTGAGGAGATCCAGAAAACTCCTACAAAAAAGCCAAGAAGGGCTCTGAAAACACTGAGAAGCATCTTATCCAATCAGCATTCACTAAACGTTTTGCCAGAAACATCAGGAAAGTGAAAAATCACATGTAGAATTTCTGATTGGATGATTACTACAGTGCTACTATATTTAGTAGCATTCCAAAATTTTCGGGAAACCCAAAGACATTCAAAATACTATGAAAAACCCTAGATTTTCTGTAAATAAATGAACCTTTGAAGTAAATAAAGTGTTTCTTACACATGTCGTGCTGTTCCCCTTGTATTTAAGTTGCTGTGTAGTTAATTCTAGCCTGAAGGATACTAGTAGACTGTTCAACTAGCAAGACTTATCAGATTTATACATCAATCCATGGAAATGATATACATTGAAATACTATACAATTATGAAATTTCAATGGTTAAGATCATGGGTCAGTTGGAGTTAGACCACCATGGAAAACCTGGAAGAACTCGACGGCCGTTTCGTTCCATTATGGGACTCCTCAGCAATGTGCATCCACGACCTCACTCCCTGAGAGATTCAAACCCAGGACCTACTGGTTTCGCGTGCGACCACCTAAGCACTAGACCATTGAGCTGGCCGGCATCCGGCAATTTAATGTCTAACTTCAACTAATTCACGAAATTGAGTGACACATCCATCATTGTGTTCAGTGAGTTACTATCTCATAACAGACCTGGTTGAACTCCACTGGTCACTACTTCTCACTAAAACTCCAGGATATACCTCTTGAAGTCAGTCACTAGTGAGCGTATGTGGATTAGTTGAAGTTAGACATTAACACCGTTGGTTGCCGGTTAGCTCAGTGGTCTAGTGGTTAAGTGCTCGCGCGCGAAGCCACTGCTGAGGAGTCCCACAATAGGACGAAACGGCCGTCCAGTGCTTCCAGGTTTTTTATGGTGGTCTAGCTTCAGCTGACTCATGATCTTAACCATTGAAATTACTATAATATCCACAAAACACATATGATATTAATTATGAAATTAGTATTTAATAATATTGATATTTACTTTATTCACAGTTTTTGTTTGTTCTTTTTTTATTGATTTATTATGTGAATGCAATTTTAGGCCACGTTTCTTTTTATTTTTAAGTGAATTAGAATAATGTAAATTTGATTGAGAAACTATGTCCATTGAATCAGTAGTATTAGTAGTAGTACATTTTAATTGTTTCTCCTCTTTCTTTTTAATTTTCTGTTTTGATTTATTATTATTGAGAATATTTTCATACGTAGTCGATGAAATAGTAACTCCAGTAATAGAATTAGTAACTATCTCATTGTTTACGCAGTTATTATTAGTAGTAGTATTAGTAGTCTGTTGTAAATCGATAGAATTTACCCCATTCAATGAAGAGTTCTTTTCCATTGATTGATTATGTAATGAATCTTGAATTATATTTAATGTTTTAGGTGAATTATCTAAAATATTAAGTTGATTTGTTTTTTCTGTTTTTTGTTCTTGTCCATGTTCTTCTTCTTCAATTTTTTCTTTATCTTTTCTACTTTTTTTATGCTTTTTTGATCGAGATAATCCTTTAAAACTGGATTTTGTTAATTTTGATGATTTTTGACTTGGATTAGATGACATTTTGATTTGAACTGAAAGATGAGAATGAAGATTAAACAAATCAGAAAGATAAAGAGAGAGAGAATTCATGATCGAAACAACGGTAAGATGTCTTATTTAATTATCAAAACATCTCCTTAAGCGAAGATATAGTCAAGATGATGGACAACTTAATACTAGTCTATTGTAGTGTAAACTGATCATAATACACGTATAAGTCAATCGTTCTGAACAACTTATTGAATTGGTCATTTTCTGATAAAGTCGACGAACTCGTGGAGTGTCAAGTCAGTGGTAAGGATAATGCCCATAATATGAAGTCTGAAATTCCTCGTGTGTATATATACGGATGAGGAATCTTATACATGAATGAAATAACTATCTTCAAAACGGAATCAATTAAATGAGAATCATATTAAAGGATATATGTATTCACTTATGACGAGGAACAAATCTAGATATATGGCCATACAAAACTCTTTTCTTAGTTAGTGCTGAACATTACACTCCCAGTATTAGACTATCTATTGTGTATGGTGAGCATCTGAGAACAACATATCGCATTACTAAAAAGTTAATCATTTCAAATGGAGTCTAGTTTTAATCATGCATTGACGAAAACAGAAGAATCAATATGGAGCACTGAAAAGATGTTTCATTTTAGGCTTGGACAACTTAGTAGTGTACCAAAGTTATCCTATACACGAGATCTGATCTACAACTTCTAAATCTCGATGCGAATATGGTATCATTATACAAGGTGGTAATCTAGATGGTTGTTCGAGGTAGTCGACCCGGGTTTCGTGCTACTTGGCACTCGTCAGCAAGGTATACCTTTAATCTTGAGGGAACTGGTGCTCCTTGACGAATTCGATCCCGTGTCACCCAGCTTAACAGTCAGATATGTTACCACTGAGCTATCTGGGCTACAACCGACCTCCTGTAGGACTGAGATGTTATCACAATTGATTGATCACTGGGTGGTGATCAATGTCATGCGTGTCCATCTAATCTCACAATAGTGCCCGTAGTGTCGAGTCACATAGACTGGTGGCCACATTGCAACATGGTCGATAGCATTCGATCTGCACTGATAATAAGGACTAGACACGCATGACATTGATCACCACCCAGTGGTCAATCAATTGTGAAGGTGAAAATCTATTGGTCCATGTGTCGAACACGACATTTTTCTGGTAACTTAGATACTACAAATGAACAGTTAATTGTACACATAGGATGGATGGAAAAATAAATACAAAACATATCTTGATTGGTTTTATATGCAAGTAATTTACTAAGTGAATAAGTGCATACATAATATTTAAGACGATAAACTTTAGAATTAGGTTAGATTATATTTACTAAGAAAAAAGGAACAATAAATGTATTAGTGTATAAAACCACAGATTTTGATATGTACCAAACAGTTTCAAGAATCTTCACCGTAATATTGATTTATTTTCAAGTGATTGAAAAGGTTATTCGACAGTCCTAAGTACCTAGTGTAACTTATTGGTCAGAACTCCGTTGATCCTAAACTAAGACATCATTTTTACAACACACAGACATGAATAATTACCATACACATTATTTAACTTCGATTAAGAACCTTATCTATCGATTGACAAATATTATTGTGTCTCTTTATGCATTATATTGTCATTGATCACTTGTATAATACACTATAATACGCTTGTGATCTATGTATCTAATGTAGTTTTAATATTTATTCATATTTGGTACCTGTGGTGTTGGAAACCAGTTCGATAACAATATCTTACATTTGAAAAGTTAGAAACAAATTTTGGGATGTGTTTGGGAAACTCTGGATGCAAATCGACCTAATGGGATTAGTCATTATTTGGATATTGAGGCTCGATAAATTGTTGTAAAGTCAAAAACAAACCATTTTTCCTTAGTGATAATGATAACAATAATTATTATTACGAAGCTGAATATAATTCAGGGGAAGCGAACAGTTTTAACAAAGGTCATCGGATACACTTAAAATTAAGGGGAAAGGGATTAAAATTATGACTTTTTGAGCTCAATGATGTATCTATCATTTTAATATCCACTTTCCATTGATAAAGATTTCTACTATGTTGGAGTTGGGTATTAAGAGTTGGATGGCGATATGATTGACATAAATTTGAGGGCAAATTCCAATATTGCTAGATGTTGCAAAGTAGATTTTTTCTTAATTTTGAAACTTTTAACCAGTGAATACTCATGAATTCATATACAGGGTGAACACCTTAAGGTCTAGAAAGAGGCAAGTACAATATCATCTAGATAAGTCAATCGTACGAGGTAGTAAAGATTTGTAGATTAGGTGGTGTTTTCTTCTTTGAACTAGATGGTTTAGTCGTGATGCTTACACTGTTCATCTGCACAATATCATTAGTATAAAGTTCTGGTAGAAGTGAGGTATTCGAAATTCTCCACATATGACTCGCTTTGTCCTGTCGATCTCGACTAACTATTGTGGACACACATTAGACTGGGAAAATGCTGAAATATTGGATAATGAGAATACTAAAAACACCAGGGAATATTTAAACGTTTGCATTCAGGTCAGTCAGCAATCAACAAACACATCGAAATCAATCAGGAAAATCATGGACAAATATAGGATCAAGAATCAGATCAAAGAGATACGCAATCAAAATAAAGTAGACACTGACATCATAAAGCTCAACAATAACCAATTAAGATCGAGATCGACAGGACAAGGCGAGTCATATGTGGAGAATTTCGAATACCTCACTTCTACCAGAACTTTATACTAATGATATTGTGCAGATGAACAGTGTAAGCATTACGACTAAACCATCTAGTTCAGAGAAGAAAACTCCATCTAATCTACAAATCTCCACTACCTCATACGAATAATTGAATTCCGGCTGACTATTATCTGGATGGTATTGTACTTGTCTCAGAAGAACGATGAAAACACCACGACCAAACCATCCTATTCAGAGAACAAAACACTTAAATGTTGTTGCCATATGATTTCAGATCAAAATGATTTAAAATTGTCGAAAGAATCAACAATAAAATCTATAATATATAAAATGACGAAACATGACTGTGATCGATCACAGTGTGGCAGATGTATTTATTGTTTATCTTCCACTGAGATCATGAATTATCATATACACTTTTTAAAACCCTATATATTTGCTTATACTGAATGTTGTTTATCACTACTACCATCACCAATTCTACTACTCGATATTTTTCCTGATCATTTCATTTCGATATGCGTTAGGGAAAACTTGGTATGATTTACATATATGATGGGTTCTAAGGTGATCATAACGAACTGGCTGGCTAACTAACTATAATTTCAAAATGAACAAACTAACATTATTATGAAAAGATAAAAATCATAAAACGCCAACAAACTAACCACCATACACACACAAAATATACATATATCAATCATACAAATGGTATCAAAAACAGTATTATCAATAAACTAATTATGAAAATTTTATGTATTTAACAAAATATATATGTATATGTGTACTATTTTGACATTAAAAAAAAGGAAGAGGGAGGGGGAGAAAAAGGAAATAAACAACCGAAAGAGCACAAATAATGGGTGGGGAAAGAGAATTCTAAAAAAGAAACACTATTAGATGATGAAAAAGAGAATGGAATGAAAAATATTTCCAAGCTAAACCTTAGGAGAAAAAACAGATAAAATAATAAAAAAACAAGAAAGAAAGAAAAACCAAAACGAGAAATTTGAAAACTATTATCATTTGGTGTTTCCATACAGACGAATATGCACATTACTTTCTACTTAATGTTTACACATATCAACAATCAGTTTAAAATTAATTCAGTACAATTAGGTTAATGTTCATTAACTGTAAGGATATATAAATATGTCTATAGAAGGGATTGAAAGAAGAAAGATAAGGGAAGGATAAGATATCAAAAGAATACCTTACAGAAACATAATAATTTGAAACGGATCTTACCAAACAAACAGAGAAATAGTAACTTTCTTTGTTCTTTTTTTTCTTTTCTATTTAAGAGTAAATATTACATAACAACAATATGATAAGGTAAGTTGTATTGATAAAGGGAAGGGAGTTAATAAGATGAGAAATAAATAAAAGTATAACAAATGAACTAGCATAGAATAAAACAAGTTTACAAGATTAAATGATAAATATACAGAAGAAGAATAAGAAGACGACAAATAGGGAATAGAGTTAACGGCTCCTAGATTTCACACACTTCATCAGTAGAACACATATACACTACTTTAATCATTTAATTAGTAAAAAAAGAACTATGCAAAAAAAGAATGAGTAGTCACCGATAAATAGACAAATAGGGAAAGGAAGAATGAAAATTTTTTAAAAAATAAAATCAATCACTATTCGCATTCATGAAGATAAGTGCATTTGTAGGAGCACAAGACGAGACTACTTTTTTTTCTTAACTAGATGAAATGGAAAACGAGAAGAGTCATTTGAAATTTTACAGAAAACAAACGATCTGTATGATATGAGAGATCGTCACTTGATTAATTCCAAAAAATAGTGTATAACAAGACTCTCTGTGTATAATTATGTATAAATATAAATTCAAGAAAGATATATAGTTGAATGACTTGATAAGATAGAGGGGGGAGCTGGGGTTAGCTGACACCGCTGACATGCCGATCCAAACAGTACTGAGTGATGAAAGCATTCACATTATGACAAATGACAAAATAATGAAGTGATATTTCTACTGTTAACGGTGATGATGACGATGATTGAAGAAAAAAACGAGGTTGTTGATGAACATTTCTTCTTCTTATGTGTTGTGATTAGTTTTAATATAGACCAAATTGTAAATTTGAAGGTGTTATCAAATCAGATGATGTACTGGAAGCCAATTGATGACTAATCCATAACTGATTAATACGTTTATATTCAGATTCCACAAGAAATAGAGGATTTCCACGACTGAAGATTTTTTTAGGAAACAAAATAAAACAATAAACAAAAGACATGAAATAGCATGAAAAAAGTGTCTGTCCATTTATCCTACTTGTACAGTCTAGTTGACGTAAGGTGAGTAAGCATTAAAGCATGTTCTAATTCAATTACTCCATCCCACGTACATCTCAATCTAATCAGTTGGATAGTGTCACTAATCCTGATACACAAAAACAAAGTATGAGTCAAAACTGAGTACATAGACAAGTAGTATCTGCTGAATCAGTTGATTATTTAGAAATAAAAGAATTTACTTGGACTTTCCTGCATGACTACTAACCATATTACTGATGTAGTGTTTTCTTGTGATTGAATTGCATTGCTATGTGTAACATCATATCAACTCATAGTATGATGGATGACAAGATTTTGCAATTCGAACAGGAGTGTTCTATTGCAAAAGTTACGTTTACTTAAGAACAAACTAAGAGTTACTGTGACTTAAATGAACTATTTCATCATAAAAAGAAAAATGATAGTGCATCCAATGGGTGTTACAATTGAGTAGTATAACTATCCAACTGTTAAATAATCACTTGATACAGTTATATTATCTTTTGAAAATTAGTAGAATAAAATGCTTATTGTATTC